GTCCAGAAAACTGTGAGGGCAAACTTTTTCGGAGTGAGGGTTGTAAACTCTTGGAACAATCTACCAGAAAGTGTTGTGACGGCACCGAGTGTGAGCTCTTTCAAGACAAGACTTGACCAACACTGGAGCAGGTTCAGGTACATTCAGGAGCTGGTGCATGCCGAGTACTTGCCAACAGTGCATAACAGAGACGTGACTGATCGCCCAAGAGGCTAACAAGCCAATCATTTGGTGAAGAGGATAAAAGAAAGAGAAAGGTAACAGACGTGACCGATTGCCCAAGCGGCTAACGAGCCGATCAGTGGTGAAGATGATAAATTGTAAAAAAAAATAAGGGACATAAATTTCTCAGGATATTAGTCTACCCTAGTAAAATTGTTTTCTCTAATACAGAGCAAAAGAGTAAAAATTACTATACTCTAAAGTGGCTTACAAATAAAGAAAATAGAATATAAAACTACCATAAAATAAGAAAACTGAAGTGCATGGGTGCGTATGTGTGGGAAGTGAACATATGTGTGTGGAGGCAGTGAGCACTGAACAGTAACTGCATGTCCGTGTCAGGACACACACAAGTCTCTGAGTCAACTGGTGACCACCCAGCTGATGTGTGTTCAATTTTTTTATTCGTTCGTCTTCTGCTCAGTTTTTGCGCCTTGCCTCGGCTGCCACATAAAATAATCTACGTATTTATAATTACTGAGGAAATTTTTTTTTTCGAAATGTACATACTGTACAGTAATTATAAAGTAAATAATAGTAATAAATAAATGTAACACTGCAAGGTGGGGTGACGAGGTGAGGATAAACCAGGGCATACGGAGACGTATTAAACACTACAATAACATTTATTAAGTTCTGATAAATATGCTACAATATTATTTACTAAGTGTCCAAGACAGATCCTGTGGTAACCACCAGCCCTCTAGGACAGTGTCAACAACAGTGCTTGAGAGATGGCGAGTGCTGGCAACACTATTAGTGAAGAGTGGGTCAGTGTTACCATTTTATAAACAAGAGACTGAAAATATACTACGGAGCAATAGCTCATCTGGGATTGAGTGTGCAAATTTTTTTTTTTTTTGGGGGGGCTTAATTATTTTTCAATAATGTTTCATTAAACTGGCACCATTTTCCATAATATTGCAACCTTCTGCAAAATTTTCAGGGAAATTCTTTTCTTCTTTGGGTGGCTAGCAACTCCAGTCAGGTTTTCAGGTCATTTAGAGGACATAATTGATGCAAAGAAAGTAGAAATTTAAGGCGATCACACGAGCACAGCACCGGCTGGATTTTAATGCCAAAATACACTGACCACGGGAGCGTTGCAGAAGGTAAGGACTAGTGGAAATTACGGGCAGGCCTTAAAAAAGATAAACAAATAATGAAAAAATTTTGATCTCTAAATTTTGCCATTAAATGTGAGTTGCCGGTAAATCCAGTGCCGTTAAATCGAGATTCAACCTGTACTGAAAACCGAGTTAAAAAAATAAATAAAAATACAAAAAATAAAGAATAATATCACAGATCCAAAGTAACGGCCTTTATGGAAAGTTGAAAGGCTGTGAAGAAAACTCACAACTCCATGTACCTCCTTTCACAGTATTCATAATCATACTACCGTACCTACCTTTCTTAATGTTATTTAACAACTATGCTACTTCAAACAAACAAAATTTGTAGAAGATCTAGAATTAAAAATAAATGCAGCTAAACCTAAGGAAGAGCCAAATGAAAGTTTAACAAAAATGCTATTTGTATATACACTGGCTGCTTCAACTCAACACTTACCATACCACAAAGCCCACCTAGGACAATGTCTTTGCCGACTTCCTAGCAACGCCCCACCCCACACATTCCGCTCCCTACCCCACTCTGCCTGCTAACTGGTGAGCAAAGAAATGTTTATTCCCTTTATGCGTTTGACCTCATAATAATGATGCATGTTGTCCCTACAGTTAACCGCCTCGCGCGTCATGACGCAAATCATTGGATAGCACTATTTGCATCGGTGACTACAATTGCGTCATTAAACTATAAAAAAAATAAATAAATAAAAAAATCAAGACAATTGCGTCAATATTTTGTGCATCATAGATAACTGCACGAAGTTGCGAAGGAAGCTTCCAGAAAGTACCAAAGCATGGGTGGAGTTCCGCTGTCCAACAGCTTCCTCCTATCAGCCATGCTGGTAAGTCGCATTTATCTCTTTACAGTATTTCCTCTCCCACCCTCTCCACAATCAGTCATATCAAATTTCCAAAGCAATCATTGGAAAGCTCATAAAATTCTGCTTCTATTTAACTACAGTTGTACCCCGCTTTACGCGGTTTCACTTTACGCGATTTCTCATATACGCGGTGCCTTGCCAGAACCGAACTTTCACTTTATGCGGTTCGTCTACCCATATACGTGGGAAGCGGCGCGGGCAGGATGCGCACAAGGTCGCCCGGTCATCAAAACATTACCTAGTTCTTCACCCGCCACCCACCACAGCCGGCCTAAGTCAGTGATAGTGATAGTGAGGATATGGACTTATATGGACTTTGAGGGGTTTGACAAAGAGGCCCTGCAAGCCTATGTGGTGGATAGTGATACAATTGATACAAGTGATACAGGTGAGGGCCAATAATCTGCCCTCTGCCTCGGAACTAACCCCCCATCCCTGTGTGCTCAGCCATCTTTTCTACTAATGTAAGTGTTAAAAAAACTAATATTATTGATATTTCTCTTAATTATTAATTGTGAGTGCAAACCATCATAAAATTAAGATGTAATTTTTACTACAACGTAGGTATTGTGTCTGAAAAAGTGGAGTTTGGGGGTCGGGCCAGTCTCTATTGGAATTAATCCCATATGTTCTGTTGTTCCATTTACGCGGATTTCACTTAACGCGGTACCCTGTGGGTTCAATTGACCGCGTAAATCGGGGTACAACTGTATATAATAGCTGAGTAGCTTTGTGAGAACGTAATGTATCAGAGATATGATGCTGGGAATTTCTTTTTCTTTATTCGGAACGAAACAAATACATGTCTTATATTTTTTCTACTTACAGTAAAAGTCCAAAAATCCGGATGCCAGAAATCCGGACCACCCGAGAATCCGGACTTTTCAAAAACGATTTTTTTTTTTTTAGCGGGCATTTGTGTGCATGTGCGCATGCGTGAGCGCCACAGCTGCACAGCGACAACAAGCGACCACGTGGTCGCCACTTTAAAATGGGCAATCAAACTGTGACAACATACCGTATATACTCGTCTATAACCCCCCCTCGTTATCAGTCGACCCTGATTTTTTGACCAAGAAATCGTTAATTTATGATATTCCTCGTTTATAGTTCCACCCACGTTTTTGAGGGTAATGGAACAACAAAACCACTAAAAAAGCTCTACGTCCTATAAACTGAGGCTCGCCGTGCATGAAACACAAGTGCTGAAGGCAAATTGTTTACCATTTATTATTACGACACTTTACACTGAAACCCGAGTAGTTTCAACAAAAATATTGTATATTTCCATTCAAGTATTTATTCAAGTCAATTAGGAGGGAATATTATTGAAATACAACAGTTTTTAAACTAAACCATTCGAAAAACGATTACGGTAACATCTTTTGAACGAAAGAAAGCGAAAGTCATTGTTTTCGTCATGATTTTATCCCACTTTCCACTGTAATACGTATGTAATTTCAGGAAAAATATTACATTTCCGTGAATGTATTATATCAAGCACAGTATGAATAGAATATCATTGTAATATATCAGAATTTTAACCGAAAACTATTAAAAAAACGAGTAACATCTCAAGAACATCGGAAGCTTAGGTAAAGTCTTTTGTTTTCGTCATGTATTTTATCCTATTTTACATTGAAATACGTCACGTTTCCACAAAACTACTATTTATCTCCGAGAATATATTCATTCAGGCGCAGTTTAGGTAAAATAGACGAGTGATGTAATAGTTTTTTAACTGAAAACGATTCGAAAAACACGTACCCTCTAGCCCTGTTCAAAGAGAGGACTGGGAGAAGCTGTTTGGTGCTGCAGACGATGACAAGGAAAATGATTTTGATGGATTTTAATGAAAATATTCAGAAATATGGTATCGTAGTATTTATTCAAGTCAATTAGGATAGAATATTATTGTAATACAAAAGTTTTTGAACTGAAAACCATTCGAAAAGCGATTACGGTAACATCTTTTGAACAAAAGAAAGCGAAAGTCATTGTTTTCATCACGATTTTATCACACTTTCCACTGTAATACGTACGTTCAGCAAAAATATTACATTTCCGTGAATGCATTATATCAAGCACAGTATGAATAGAATACCATTGTAATATAACAATATTTTGAGTCCTACTCTTTCCATTTACAGAGTACTGTACAAGCCCATAAAAATGGCTCCTAAAGTAGATAAACTTCGTTGTGTGAAGAGAAAGAAGAACACATTGAAATTGAGTGACAAACTTGAAATAATTAAGAAACTAGATCGTGGTGTGAGCAATACTGTTCTAATGGAAACATACGACATTGGAAAGTCTACAATTTATGATATATAAAAGGCAAAGAATAAAATTTAGAATTCACAGCTTTTTCATTAAAACTGCTCGTTTTGATAAATGAAGCATGCTATATTTGCAAATGAATAAACTATCAAAATGTACCTGTTCATTTCTTCTTTATTCTTCATTAAATTTGAATTTTAAAAGTACTGCCTGAGAATCCGGAAAATCCGAAAATCCGGACCGACCCAATCCCCAAGCAGTCCGGATTTTTGGACTTCTACTGTATATCAAAGCCCAAACAATAATGAAGCCAGTGATGCATAAATCATTCAAAAAGAAAAATATTGTGGGATAAATTGGTCGCACAAATATGATGACCAGACCTCATGTGAATTGGTCCCATATGACCTTCATTGTGGTCACTTATTGCATGCACGAGAGGGTAAACTTACACTGATGAGAGCTGATATTTAAGGATTAAGCTCTTAGTTTTTTAACAAACAAATTATAACTTTCTTACCATGTGGTGTAGTTATTTGCAGCATAAAATTTGTCCTTCTTCTGGCCAAAAGAAACTTTTGTCTGGGCAGTCATTGCTGATTCCAATTTATCCCCAAACACTGCATAGGCCAAAGACTCTTCCAGGGCAATAGAGATTTCCGTCAGTGAAGTAAAGTTGCCATCAATGTTTGGGTCAGTGGACAAGTTAATATCCCGGTCTGAACTAAGGTAACTCACAGGCCGCCACTGCATGTAACCTCCCTGCTTAGTTGTTCGTGCCAATTTTGTGGTTATCTGGTCCAGCTGTAAAATAATTATACAGTATCTATTAGATTTCCTTTTCTCCCAATTTTGTGTGGCATGGAAGGAGGAGGAGAAGTTTTAGGAGGAGGGGGAGGAGAGGGAGGAGATGGAAATACTTTCTCATATCCTCAACCTGAATGTAAATGACAAACGCAATATAACCTAAGAAATCCAGCACTTTTGGGACTGACAACATGCTGGAATTGTGAATTTTTCACTTTTCCAAATAAGCATTTTTGTGTTGAAATTCATAAGGCAAATTACAGTTCAGTTTAGTGGCGCACAGCTTCTAAGTAGAATTCCCTTACAAAACTCCAAACAATTTTCATAATTACTTAGAAGAAACAATTTACCTTGCCAAAATAATATGCTGAACAGTGAGTATGTAGAAAAAACAAGGTGAAACAGGCAAAATACAATTGACACAGTCTGGTACATAAAGTGAGCATAAACCATCAACTTTGAGACAAAATGAGACAAACCAAACCTAATCTATCTTTATGATCTTACAATACAGTAATCTCCCCGTTAGCAGAATAATTGGTGCCGAGTGGTTTCGGGTTTGAGAGATTTCCGGGTATTGAGGCAAATTTTCTTATTCCTGGAAACAATTGCAAGACTGAAATTTTTCCAGGCACTGGTGATTGTTTCCATTACGGACTGCAGTCAGAGACACAGAGCTGTATTTACTTATGCAGACACTACTGTACATGTACAATGTATTGTAAATAAACAAAATACAGTATACTATTGTATAGAGTAGTAGGTAGTAGGCAGCTATCAAACAGGGAGGTACTACCGCCTGGGAAGATATTGGAAGCATAATGTGTTGTCTAATGGTAATCCCTGCTGCCATATGGCATCACAAAAATTGTGACAAGTCCTATGTTGCTGATCTGACTTTCTGCCTCATTTACACACAATTGCAGGGTCTCAATTGTTTCTCTTACTTTGACAACACAACATACATATACCTTGTACAGGGAACCCTCGATAACTCGGCACATATGGGGTTCTTTCCTTGCCGAGTTATCCCAAATTCCGACTTATCGAGGCACTGCCCCTCTCCTACAAAGAAATAAAATAAATTATCGACCCATATATGTGAACATGTAATTACTAAATGTAAATAAGTAACACTTACCAACACTGCAGGCAAAGAATGAAGCATCTTAGTAGGAGATACAGATGCATGGTAGGTGACACAGAGGTATGGTAGGTGATGCAAGTGGCCAGATATGCAGAGATTTTCCCATATACCTGTATATTTAATGAGAGAAGTAAACATAATGATAAGAGTTAAAAATACTATACTTTACTGTATATTAAATATATACCTGTACTGGCAGTCCTCAATTTTTCAAGATCCAATTTACAAAATTCCCGAGTTAAAAATAAAAAAAAATATTTGCCCCGTATTCCGATTTACATAGAAAAAATCTGGTTACATAATTTTTTTTTTCATATATTTTTTGGAAGCATCAGAAGAAGCCCTGAAGTGCTGGCACAGGCACCTCAGGGCTTCCTATACTAGACCTGGTCAGTTTATAGAAACAATTGAACTAAAAACAACAGAGAGTAGTGTACTATATCAAGTGTGGTTAACTAATGTTTTAGTTATCATGACTCACAACGTCACCTGAAGCAGTGGCAAGATGCTGACTCAAGATATTTTGACAATGGGAACAATGATGTGTTATGTACCTCAGAGTTTGGTCTAATGTCAGTGGAGGAAATAAAATGTTAAATGAATAAGTCTATAATTTCTTCTTCAAATTAAACCTCATCAAAAATAAAATAAAGTGAAAGCGAAACATCTCAAAGTACAGTCTCTCCTCGCCTTACGACGGGGTTCCGTCCCGACGACCAGGTCGTAAGTCGAATTGGTCTTAAATCGAAAAGGGGAGAATAATACATAGAAATTCTAAATTGGGTGTCTCTTTTTCTTCTCAGCACCACGAGAACTCTCACTTTTACAATTGCCAGCCATTTTAAAGGTATTACAAACGAAAATTTTGTCAGTACACAGTGCAATCACTAACGTCGGGACTCGAAAATATGTAACATGAAAAAGATTTTATGCGACCGTGGCCGTCGTATGTCCGGGTTGTCGTAAGTTGAGGAGAGACTGTATATACAGTATACAGTATGCACAGAGCAGTAGAGCTACTGCTGGTGTGTCACTACCAAAGTGAGACCATATGTCTTGGCTGGGCCTCACAGTCTCACACTGCATCACAATCAGTGGTGCAGTTTCTCTCAAGTAGAGTATAAAATTATCACTGAACTATATGCAATTCACTTAATGTGTTTATTACTGGCTTATAATCATTATGTACATAAATTCTTTTTTTTTTAAGCATGTTTTGTTGCACTTTCAGACATTTGGGGATATTTTTTTTTAGGAATGTATCTCAGCTTTTGTAATGGAAGTCTATGGCAAATGGGATCTGATTTATGAAAAATAAATTTCATGAAATCTATTCAGGAGTGGAAACCTTTAGTAAATTGTGGACTGCCTGTACTAAATTCAAAGTAATGTACTGTATACCTATGCAGTATATATATATGCTTTAGTGCCATGTTTGGTATGGGAGTAAAAAATGATACTAATGTAATAATAAATACTGTATAAACAATAATAGGAAAGAAGGAATGCATTTAATATATAATAAGCAAAAACAAATGAACTTAATATAGGAAGACAAAAAAAAGTATTTGGGAGAACGAACCAAACTACTGTGTACAAGAACTGTGTGAACGGAAATATATCTAGTATGGGAAATAATTATAATTTAAATGAAGAACAAATAATAACTAAAGATTCATAAAAATAACTCAAACACTGTTATAAAAAATATATATGCAATTTATTTAAGAGTTTATCCATCAGTGTTTGGTGTCTTCAATAACTCCCTTGCTGGAGCTACTTCAAGTCTGAAAATATTATATACAGGTTACAAATAGTCATGCTAATGCTTATAAAATAAGAAACATTAAGTTGATTATTTGTAAACATCAAGAAAAATTGGTATTAAAAAATCTTCATTAAATATTGAGCTTATTAAGTGAGTCTTAGGTAATGAGAATTATTATTTGTCCATCACATATACTTGATGAGCCAGGGAACAGCCTCTCTCGTGACTATATGCTCGGGATCATCTCTAGTGCTGGACAATGCGTACGGGTAGGATGAGGGTGCCACAATGTATAACACTGATGTAGGCAGATATCAAACGGAAAAAATCAAATCTAAATGCACCCTCTCCTTACCTTTACAAAGTACCTTGAACGCTTGCTAAGATACAAGAAATTTTCAACTTTCAGTAAATGAATATTAAAAGGAAATCATTCAAATAAACATGCTTATATCTTTGGAGGAAAAATACCTGAAATTATAAGGAAAAAATCCTGTTTCAGGGGAAAAAAATCACAAAAAACACAAAACAACACTGGCCATCATTTAATGTACAGGGAATATCAGAGATTAATTGGTTACCAACCTGGAAAATAAATAAAATCCACTAGCTATTGGTGTATGTATACCTGTTGATATACAGTACAAGTAGCACAAAAACCTATCACACCAAAAAAAAAATCAAAGAAATGGATAAACAAACATAACCACACAACTCTCATGAGGGATCAACATCAGCTGGTGCAAGGAAGTCTAAAATATTAGTAATGAACTGAGGAAAGAGCCAGCCTTCTCATTTTCAAGCTACTGGCATCTCAAGTTTACAGTGCTTATAACTATCATTGAAAATCATACACAAGAATAATGTTTAAGTAATGAGACTGGCAATTTCTCTTTACCAAACTTGAATTATTGTGTTTCTGTCTCTTGCTTCCCAGGTAGTGGAGGACCCCTGACTCTCCCTACCATCTAATACTCCTTGAACACCAAATGAGAAGACTGCCACCTAAATATAACTCTAGCCAAAAATAGGACTCCAAGAATAAGTTAATGTAGACATCCACTTCTCATTGTTTACAGATTAATATGGAAACATTAACAGCTGTTGACACATTACATTATTAGAATTGTTATGATGTTCTCCTTCATTAACTACTGACATAAGACTGTGTGCCAATATGACCTTATGGATTACAAGGTACTTTTGAGATGAAGGCAGTCATAATAAAAATGAGAAAATTGCATTGAAGGGAATCAAATTTCACTCAGAAATTATATATATGATCTATGTCAAATTTACCCCAGCCCTTATAGGCCCTAACCTTGGTAGGCTCCAACCCTACCCCAGTAGGCTCAAACCCTAATGCTATTAGGCCACAATGATAATGGGCACCTTAGGAAGTTAGGCTAGGCAAAGGCCCATTTGATCATCAACTATGCATAAGTACAGAAGTCATGAATGTTTTATTTAAGTTAGAGCCAAATCAGTAGATTTCTTTTGCACTGCTGACGGTTCTGGAAGTGGATGTAGTATAAGAACTAAAATGTTTGGAGTAGAATTGATATTTTCCATCTTATTCACAATGTGAGAAAAGGCACAAAATTTCAGTTAGCTCTCAAACACATCCTCAGCCTCCTCTTAGTATTAAATGGTTCCTGGTAAAAACAGAACTACAGTACTTTAATAATAACACTATAGTTGATAAGTATTTTCATCGATGTGACAGAAAGAGATGAAAGCAAGAGAGAAAGGTGGTGCAATGGGACACAAGACACTGGGAGGTACAGTAGCTGCCATTTACTGTTGGGATTTCAGAAGTTGCAAAGATTGGAAGAATGTACAAAGAGAAAGTTGAAATATTAAAGATAAATAAGATAGGAAAATAAAAAGTAGGAGGCAAGGTATTTCTTTATGTTTGGGAAAAGTGACAGCAAGTGAAACAATTAGTGATGAATTCAAACATAGACTAACAGAGCAAAAGGAAGTACTGTAATACATTCAAAGAAAACTTGAGACAGACAGACAGACAGACAAGAGACTTATGTTAAAGGAAGTAACAGTTGGATATAGAGAAATCATGAGTCAACATTAATATAAGAGCATAAAACAATGACTTGTGATGTACAGGTAATTAAAAGAAGCAAATTAGATGGAACAGATATGATGTACTTGATAAACATATTTACTATTTTCAGTTCCTGGCTATCAATTCTCTTTCCTTTTATAACTTCCTTCACTCACCCAGAAAAACAATACTGTACAGAGTATTTGTCACAGTCAGAGGCAAACCCACACTCTCTCTAGCTACCGTATGGATTGGCTACCTGCACTGTGAGTAAGTATTTGAAGAGGCCGAGGATTATGGTGGTCCCTAAGCTAAGTCTTTAAACAAACACAAATAGAACAATCTAGTCCAAAGATCAATTAAGGGTGGAATCATTTTTCTATTACCAGATACAGTGGGGTATGCTATAACGAACGGATCCTACTACGAAGATTCCTATAACGAACGGTTTTACCTATAAAATTGAGAATGCTATAACGAACGCAACTCCTACAACGAACGCGGATGAATACCGGACTATTTCGTCTGGAGCATGAATATTGTTGTACTGCTGCTTCCAGCAAGAGTGTCAGGCGCCATATTGGTTCATTGTGTAGTCAGTGCACCACTGAACTTGTTGAAATTTCGTCGTTTGATGTGGAAATTCGTGTCATTTTTATAACTATTTTGTTATACAAGTGTACAATTGTAACAATGAATCGTCAAAAGCGAGTGAGAAAGCTAATAACCCTTGAAACTATGAAAGAAATTATAAATAAACAGACAAAGTGCCTGTAAGACAGTCACCAAAGAGGGCTAGGAAGGATGACTCCTCTCCTTCCAACTCTTCTCCATAATTCTCTCCTCCCCCCTCCCCCTCTGCCTCCTGTCCTGCATGCTGAACAACACTAAGGTAAGATAAAGTACTGTATTTTTTACAATTTCCACAGAAATTTTTCAGTGTTAAGTGGTTGTATTTGGGGGCCTGGAACGGATTAATCCTATAACGAACGAATGCTATAATGAGTGAGGTTCTAGAACCAATTAGATTCGTTATAGCATACCCCACTGTAAAAGAAAATTTGATTCCTGAAACAAATTGAACAAGCTCAAATGTCAGTTGAATTAGAATCTTGTTAGACATAAAATTGATCTATACTTCACAGACCATTATCCATTTACCCTTTTACAATTTTCATCTTTTTTATTGTGGCTGCTAATACAACCGCATATATAAAGCCAGTTCAGTTTCATCTACATTACACCTCCAACATGCAATGCTACTTGCACCTTATGTTACCGCAGTTACCGTGTCCTGTGGAAAGGCATAGTGAGTAATATCTGGACACACCAAACCTTCATTTATCTCATGTTATCTTTAGGAAAATAATCAATATTATTAACTATTTCAACTCTATGATTAAAAAGACTTTATAACTGCACTAATTTCTTTCAGCTTTCTGAGATTCTTAAGGTCAAATGGAAAGATCATCACTAACTTTTGAAAGGTTGTATTATTAAAGAACTAATCTGTATACAGTTCTACACACTGAACTACACTGGCTGCAAAAAAACTGATACCTGTTAGCCTACCACAAGATTAAACTGATACTGAAACCAAATGTTATTAATACTGTATGGAAAATGCCAAGCCCTATCTACTGTATGTATAAATCCCTATTAAAAAAAAGAATCAGCCTACAGCTCAAGATTTTATCGAGGAGGAAGGGAGATATATTATCGTAATTAGTGAGAGAATACACGTCACTACTCATATCTCTTGTTTATGTTAAAAAATTCCCTTTCTAGTTATGGGTCAAGCTACAGGGTTCAGGGAATTTAACACCAACAATAACAATAAAAAATAATAATAATAAAAAAAATAAATAAAAAACTAAAACTAAAACTAAAACTAAAACTAAAAATAAAAAAAATAAAAAAAATAAAAAAATAAAAATAATAAAAATAATAATAATAATAATAATAATAAAAATAATAATAATAATAATAATAATAATAATAATAATAATTCATAGTAAATAAAATTTATAATAAATAATACAAAATTGAAAATAAAATAAAATAATAATGATAATAATAACAAAACTGTAATAATAATAATAATAATAATAATAATAATAATAATAATAATAATAATAATAATAATAATAATAATAATAAAATTAACAAAGAAATACAAAAATTAAAAAAAATCAAAAGTGAGAAACAATATATGTATGTTGTGTTGTTAATAGTAAGAGAAACAATTAAGACCCTGCAATTGTGTGTAAATGAGGCAGAAAGTCAGATCAGCAAACATCAAAAACCATAGGAAAAATATACTTTCAACTTCGATTTTGTATAGCGGCAACAAGTGAAATTTTACCGATCCTTCGGTATCTTTAAGTAATTTGCGAGGGAGACGTCATAAAAGTGTCTTAAAATTGTCTAAACTACCGGGAAAACACATTGCTCAACTAGAGATCCATATTGTCCGAAACTGCAGTAATTAAAAAATGGCCAATTGACAAGCTACTGTAGCCTGGAGGGAAGGGGGGACTATTGTAGTGGATACCTCCCCTACAAACGCTGTTTGTCGCTGAGTAGCCGACCCCGCGAATGCCCCAGTGTATGCCTCGTGGTCTAGGTCAACCAACGCCGCCATACATCACGGAGGTCAACTATTAAGCCACGCCTACCCCCGCTATTTAAGACCTGACCTCGTGGTGACCGCTCTCTCTTCTTCTAGCTACAGCCGCAGCAAGCAACACCACCTGGCGGCCCTCGCTCCCGCCGGCGAGCATGGCGACCCACAAGCTGGTCCTCCTCTGAGCACCCTCACCAACCAGCTCTCTCTACACTACATCACGCTTGTAACCATGTTGCCTTCCCAGCACCAAGCTGCATTGTACATCCAATACAATATATATATATATATATATATATATATATATATATATATATATATATATATATATATATATATATATATATATACAGTGAGAACATTGTGAGTTTCCTTTCTCCACCCCATCCTGAGTGTGAACCCAAACACCCCATACTACCTGCCATGAAGTTTACCTTTACGAGAGGTGCAGCCGAGGTTTCCTGTGTCTCAGCTTCGTCATCCTTCTCCTTCCTTTAACGTAAGTAATGATTGGATGAAGAGGTCTTCTTATTACTGCACACGTTTCTTGATCGTTGGCTGGCATCAGAATTTAGGGATAGGTAAAGACTGTAGGGTATAAAAAAAAAGAAAAAAAAATCTTCCCAGTGTCAACAAAGCTGCTCCTTGCTGTCCGCTGGTCGTTTAAACTCCTGTGGTTGTTGAAGCGCAGTAATAACATTATAGCATATAACAACAGTAATATTCCTTTGAATTTTATTACATTATTATTAATGTGCTTCAACCACGAAGGTCTTGAAGTGCATAACAAGGTTAGTAATACACAAATCCAACAATTAAAAATTATTAAGACATAGGACTCTCCTTCGAAATGGATTCCTTTAAGCTTAAGATAATAGGTTTTGAATTGGTAATGTATCGGTGCTTGTGTAGCTAGTTAAGAGAGCCAGGAGGAAAAAAGAGAGATGGATGGGTGAAATTAAAAACTAAACAATGTATTAACGTACTGTTTAATGATGAATCTAGGGGTTTTTTAAGCAAGGGTAACATATATTATGATGACAGATGTGAGAGAAATTAATGAAATGGAAGGGAAATATAATGAGAAGACATGAAACAAAAACTTGAAAAAACCTGAGTATCGGTAGATAGAAAAACCCGAGTTGAAGATGATCATTGGAAGGTCACTGGAAGATGATACGGAAGTCATTGGCAGATCATATGAAATTCCTGCCCTGGTGTGTCCTGCCCCATCTTCACGACACTTGGTGCCTCAACCTGTCCTCCACCCACCGCAAGCCGCGCCCACTCCTGTGTCTGAGCTGTCTCCACCAGGGTTATCTGGACCTAAGGACACCACCCCCGGCTACCTGTACCCCACCGACATGTCGACGCACACACCATCACAATTACACTAAAAGGTGTGTCCCTCAATGTTATCAATACCTATGTGCCTCCCTCCACCCCTACTGTACCTGCCCAACCACACCATATCACCTCCACCACCCCCACTGTACTTCGCCACACCTAGTAAATTGGCATCCCTGAGCCTGACCACACTGTTTGTAAACTTTGTGGTCACCCGACTCTCACACCCTCTCTCACTACATCCTCATTTGCCCTATGACCTCCTCCTGCAGGTCCCCAGCCGTTACCAACACTTCTTCCCTCCCTGACCAAGTATCTCTCCTCCTGGTGACAGGCCTGGGGCACTTTACATGATTAGGGACCTGCCACACTTTGCCATAAACAGATAATTGTACCGGGAATTTCCCCCCCACACACTCATCATATTGTCACTTTATGTAACTTGCTGACAAAACCCATGACCCTTCAGGCCTTTACGCCCTTAATGCACGAGTCATAAAGGCAGGCATGAACTCCGCATGCTTCCCAGCTGGGCACTGTAAACGCTTCTGCGCTTCACCTTGCACAGGATGTAATGGGGTGCCCAATAAACTAGCCCCCTCGTGGGCAATCTGTAGAAGTTGCTGATGGGTTGGAATAGTCTCTTGAACGTGCAAAGTCCAAAACGTGTGGGAAAATGGGGTCCTTGAGACGAGGAATAGTTCAAAGGTCACTGGAAGGACACAGGGGATATGAAACACACCTAAGAGAGCTGCTACGTTTATTACAGAACTACAACAGCGACACAACACCTGCACCACCGTGATCGTGAACATCTGTATTGGACGACACGAGTTCTTACACCTGATAAGGCTCGTTTCTCTTAATATTTATGTTTTTGGTAACATTTTCTCTGAGCGATATGTAATACCTGATGTTCACATTTCTTACCTGGAGCAGTATGTCATTGTTTACGGGTGAATATTTTATTCTTGACACCTACTTCTCACGAATGGGATGCTTAGGGGTTGGGTGTAAATGGGACTGCCCAGTATGGGCCAATAGGCCCGCAGCAGTTTCTTCCAATCTTTTGCACTTATATAGTGACATTTGGTCGTGTTGATATACATTATGTTCAGTGTTCACATGGACACCTTTTGTTGACAATGCCATGGGCGTGTGTGGTTTCAAGTGCCTAAGACGGAAAGTAATATCAGCAACATTTGTTCGGATCTACAGGTCTGGTGTTGTTCTTTTCACCTGGTCGTGGCTGCATGGGATCTCGGTAACACTCATTTTCAGGGTGAGCTCCGTTTTTAAGAAACTTTTGGGACGACACCTTCTTTAGGGTGATTCTTATTCAGATCAACGTGAGTTTTTTCGTGGCATCTGTTCAGGATAACTGTGTTTACTCTAACACACGTTTAAGACGTTATACAATCATAAAACTACAATATACAGAAAAATTAATATATTGCCTTTTACCCTCATATAAGATGTTACATATTTTGATAATACCTGTTTCGAACAACACCTGTTCTTGACGATACTTGTTCAGAACATTTGTAATTTTTACACTTGTATACATCACGTGTTCTTAATTAACTCGTGCTTACAACATGCAATCTATGTAACAGATGTTAAAGACATTATTTAATCTAAATGACGCCCGTACAGAATATTTTTTTTCTTTCGCCAGCATGTGACGTCATTTATTTTTAGTCACATAATCAGATGTAAAGTACTCTTCTTGACAGCTGCTCTGAGAATACATATCTTCATCATGACCATATTTTTAATACAAGTGTTCTTTGAAGATTTCTCAGCACGACACCCAGTGGTAAGCAAGCATCTTCCTTTCGATCCCCCGCCTTAATCGCCTGTTAGTCTGCTACCCACCCTGCAACATAACTCCATCTGGGCTGTTATATTTTTGTATGTTTATTCATTTTTACTAATTTTATCGACTTAAATTACGTATTTTGAAATATTTTTGCCTTGTTTTACTAAACTGAAAATTTGTGGACTTGTGCTGCTCATGTTCATTTGATTTTGTCGACGTACATTATATGTTTTAATTGATCTTGTCAACTTACACAATTTAAAAAAAATTATTTGTCGTGTTTTATTTCCTGCCTATGCATGCGTCCTGTTTTCGGCTGATTTCCTTGATCGTGTTTGTCTGTGTGTTTGTCTTGTCTTCTCCACATGACACTTGTAAACAATATTTTTATTTTATATTTCCTGCTGAGAGGGAATGGTTACGAAAATACTCATACTATATTGTTTTGTGTTGCTCATTCAACCAATCAACATTCACAGCGGTACAAACACGATAAAAAAAAATTATATATATATATATATATATATATATATATATATATATATATATATATATATATATATATATATATATATATATATATATATATATATTTTTTTTTTTTTCAATTTACAATTAAATTTTAACTTATAACCATATAATAGACATCATCTAAAATATTTCAAGTATACAGTACATAATGCATATGTTGTCAGATAGGGTTAAAAGTATCTGCACAAGGGTCAACCTAGGTCAGCCTAGACTAGTATCACAATGCAGCTTATATGACCTCGACGGAAGCGAGGCTGGAGGGTGTGGATAATGGTGAAGTAATGAATATAACCAGTTTTGGACATTTCCACAGGTACTGGGTGACAGACTCTATTGTCTGCGTGAACAGGTAGCTCCTACCACGTGTCAGTTTGTGAAAAAAGTAAATGGATACTTAGTATACGCGACTGATTGATGCCATTCCTTTATAATGTTAATGACATTAACCCTTCGATTCCACCGTATTGTAATCAAGGGAATTGGTCATCGTACTCAGAAAGTTAAGACATCATACTCCATAGATTAATTTATTGAACTCAAGAGGTTAAGTCATGGTACTGAATGGGTTAAGATATATTACTAAATGGATTAATTTACTGTACTCAGGAGGCTGGCATCGTACTAAGGGGTTGAAAGTGCTGTTATCAAAAATGGCTTTAATCTTCATTTGCATGTTAATATGAGTTATAAGGCACTGCTCTTTTGTTTGTACTTTAGAATGCAAAAGATGTGTTGTAAAGTAACTAAGGACACCTTAATGCAGTCAGCACACTACCTGTGGAAGTGTCCTTGTACTGTACATCAACATAACTCAGGGTAGAGAAGTAAGCTACAAAAGAAGACCAGGTGCTTCCCACACTCGTGACGTCACAACACACTACACCAACTCCCAGGAAAAATTTTGCCTAGAGGGGAAATATTTCTTTTGTATCACAGAATTGACGAGACCTCCGAGGAGAGATGATCAAAGCATCTCCCTTTTTGCAGAAACATATTTGACACTTTCAGTGCATAGACGCTTCTCCAGAACCTGTTTAGTAAACCTGTGATTATACCACAATAGATTCCATGGATACCACATTAACCAATCAAAGTGAAGAGATACAATACGTGAAACATTACAAAATATATTTTCTTCTCTCATTTGGCATTATCTTTTGTCCTGTTTCAGATACCTGGCAAACATACGATATGAAAACGTAAACAAGATATCAAATCCCAGCTATAGTTTACAAGATTGTAAACCGAAGTAAACAAGTTCCCTGTGAGAGTTGCCAAAGTGTTACGGCACAAGATAAAGTGTGGCAGGAGCGAACACGAGGTGACCGAGAACACCCATCACCCTGCTGGTGATGGTGCAGGGTATTCTGTAGCAACTCATCCTTCTTTTACTGGGGAGTGCAAGAGGAAATGGTGCTCGCTGGAGAGGGCGATCTTCTGCACCTGCTGCTGCTCCTGAGGGTGCTAGAGGAAGGGGTGTTAACCGGTGAGGGCGCTCTTCTGTGCTTCCTCCACTTTCATTCGTGCCCTCCGCTGCCTCCTGGATACAAGTTTGTCCTGGAGGTTCTCGTTGATGCGGCGCGCGTTGGTCTCCTGCTCCTTCATGAATTGGTTCATCTCCTCCCGGTGCTGCTGAGCCAGGTTGTTCAGCTGGTCTGTTAGTGAGACGACGGGGTGGGGATGAGGAAGGGAGGAAGGACGAGAGAAACATGGAAGCTGCAGAGAGAGAGAGAGAGAGACTACAAGCAGCATGGAGAGTGACAGAAGAAGAGGTACGAAACTAATTAGGGAACAGGGAAAGAACTACTTGTAAACATTGGAGAGAAAATAGATGATATACGGATCAGGGGAGACTGCGTGAGCACAATTAGGGACGAAGGAAGAATACCTGAACACGACAGAGAGGATATGAAATAATTATTGATAAAGGAAGGAACACATTAGAGGGGATAATAGGTTGTAGGGAATAAC